CATCTGTAATAGTAATATATTATGCATTTTGAACAAAGTATATCACTGTTCTCTGAAATATGTTCCTATATTAATATCTAAATATAAAGCTTTGAAAAAAAATATGGGAATGGGGGAGATAGGAGAGACATCAGTGCAATCCACTAGAGTGGTAGCAAGTAGGTGGGGAGAACAGCGGTGGGATGATACAAGGTTTCCCATATGGGTGACTGTTGCCCAGTGTGGGAATTCCCTGCATCCCTTCGCCAAATGCACCCCAGTCAATTCATTGTCACTGGAATGACAAGGATCTGTCTTTAACTTCCTCTACATCTGAAGTGTCTGCTTTTATCAATCCAATTTACAGTTTGCCCTGGCACCTCTTTAGCTGTGATTTATTGGCCTAACCAGCCTAAAACAATGTGTGCAAAACACTTAACATTGGGCAGTTCCACTGATGTGCGGCAAGGTTCCAGTCTACCTCTCTAGCACCATCTCTAGCTTCTACCTTCGCGTGTGACATTTCCTGTGCTTAGTACGCCTTTCCCTCCCTGTCCTCTCCTGCATCAGCGCTTTGCCCATGTGTCATCTCATCTGCGAAGTCTCTCTTCTCCAAGTTACAATGTCTTCTAGCCTTCAGAATTGTTCTGTCCCCCGCAACTGCAATGGCATTTACTGCCGTAGCCCTCAAATGCAGTACGCCCAGTTTCTCCAGGAGATGAGCTTTCTCGATGTCCAGGATTGTGCTTGCTTCTTCTATCTGTGACTCCACAGCCATTAGACTCTGAGTGAGTCATGCCTTGAACTGATGTGAAGCTTGAAAGGGAGACCGTCAAGGAGGGAGAAAGTAGAGACGCATCGGAATGATGAGGACTTTGAGCAGTAGGAATCCAGGGCAGTGATAAATAAGTAGTAGACTACAGATCCCAACAGATTTATGCTTTTGAACGTGGGTAATCTGATTGATTTTTTTTAACTTAAAATGTACCTAATTATTTATGTTAGAATGGCCACATGGGTTACATCAAATGGAGACTTGTTTAGCCTTTGTGAGAAGACAGCCCTGGATATGCACCAATGTACACTATTGTTTTAAGCCGTCATTTAGGGTACTCATTCCTCTAAATATCCTCGTGAGGTGGGGTGGGAATTCTACAGATAAGGGGATAGAGGATGATGTCACACAGCAATTAGGCGCTGAATCACATGCCACAGTCGTGTGACTGAAACAGTAGGGTTTTAGCTCTGACATCACAGCACCTGCTCTGTCATGATACGGTCCCAGGGCCAGGTCTGCCTGATGAAGAAACCCCAATCATGGCCATGAGAAGCTCTTGGGAGAGGGCCAATCCAGAAGAGCACACCTGTGACCTTATGCTCCTCATCATTATCTGTCCACATCTGTCCACATCTGTCCCCCTCTGTTCCTGACGTGACCATGTTTTCCAGACTCTTATCACTTGTGCCCAGTTCTTACAGTAAATCAGCTTCACTTTCTCCTTTCTGGTACCATCTTTTTTCTATCCAAGGTTTCTATACCTATTTTATTTTACTTTTTAGGGATTTTATTTATTTATTTCAGAGAGAGTGGCACACAAGTTGGGGGTGGGGCAGAGAAGGAGGGAGAAACAGATTCCCCACTGAGGGCAGAGCCCAACATGGGCTTGATCCCAGGACCCTGAGAATATGACCTGAGTCGAAGTCAGACGCTTAACTGACTGAGCCACCCAGGTGCCCCAAAGTTTCTATACATATTTTAAATTGAGGGGTTGCTTCTTGTAACAGTACCTATTTGATTGTTTTTTTTTAATGATTGGGATTTTTCTTAGTCTTTGGAATGATTTTTCCCATTTCATGGAAGACTTTGTGCCTGTTTTCCCTATCTTCGTAGCTCATTGATGGAGGCCGTGCCAGCAAGCTGGATTGAGAAATGCTGCGGATCACTCAAGTTCCTGCTGTTCAGTGATGATGTAGTCAGTAAGCTTTAATGACCCTGTGAGGGATCTATTTTGAATGGAGTCACCCTCAGGGTTTAGTTGCTCCTGTTTTCCTTGAGGTCAATGTGCTCAGAATATGAACCTGAACTTTCTGCCCTCTCATGATGCAATGGAAGTCACATAAATTTCCTACACCCAATCTTTGTTTTAATCCAGTGAATTAATGCTTGCTAGGCATTGGGCACATCAACCATTTCTCAACTGCTTGTTTTCAATAAGTCATTTCTGTCTACTGAATCATCCTTGCTGGACACTGTGCTCTTTATAGAGACCGTGTGAGTCATAGGGGCCCATGAGCACTGTCCTCACTATATTTAAAACCTGCTGTGTTTCCAACACAAGAAACTCTACCTCAGCTTAAGGAGCTAGCTTCCCCTTCATTATTTTTTGTTGTTCTTAGTTTTTGCAAATAGCTCAGTGAGTCTTTGGATATTGGTGGCCAGACATTAGGTGTGGAGAGTCTTTTTTCAAAGATCTTTTGAACTCTATCAGAATTGTCTGGGTGCAGAGATCCTCAGCTTCCTTCAGACTGTTGCTGGGAGGCCTCATTCTGTATTTACTGGCTTCCCTGTGGCAGAGGGCGTCGATCCTCTGTTCCCCAGAGAACCTTGATTACCAACTACCACCAACTCAATGCCCTTCATGAAGACGTCCCCATTGGTATTGGTCCCACTGCCCCCAGCCCTTTCTGCCCGAAAGCATCTCTTGCTCACAGAAAGCTGGTTTGGTTTTTGGAAGCATCTTTCCAGATCCACTCTTGTGCACCTTATATGAACGTACGGAGTAATGGAAGGCAGAAAGCCGATCACCAGTCTTATAAGTAACCTTAATAATTAACCAGTTTAGACAGATATTTGCCATTATTTTCATATTGTAAAGTATTGCCAGTTGTCAGTCTTTATTGTAAATACTTAAAAACCCAGGAGTCCAGATGGACAAGCCGTCTCCCATCTCCACCAGTCTCTCATAACCTCCCACCCACCGGCCAGAAATCATGGTGGGGGAAAAAAATTCAAGAAAGTGTAGCTGTGTGAGGTAGCAAAAACTCAAAGTAAGAAAGCACCATATGAGAAAGCCTTGAGGGTCTTTCAGGTGTCTAATGAATGTTATAGTCTAACAGGAAGATTATAAATAAGTAAATAAGTCCATTGTTTATGAGACTGGCACGTGCTCTGAAGTCATGAAACAAAGGGATGGGACACGCCATTCAGAGAGGGTTGTTGTCAGAGGAGGCCACGTGCCTCTCTGAGAGGGTTACATTTAAGACCTAAAAGAAGCCAATCAGTTGAGCCACATGAGGAACAAATGACCAAGTACAGAGGCATTAGAAGACATGGCCTCCCCCCAAGTCCAGTTAGGTCCTGGTGACACTGCTGTCTCTCCTCAGCTTTCGTCACTTCTTGTCCGCCAAGCCCCAACCCCCAAAGATAGTCATTAAACATGAGGACTTAGGGCAGCTCTTTCCACAATCTCTCTGTCAGGCTGCTTGGCATGGGACAGTCTTTATCTGGAGTTGACTCTTGGGTGTCAGGCACCTTAAGGATCAAAAGACTGAGGAACAGACCCACAATGAACTTATCTAAACTCATGACTAAAATTGGCCCAAATCCCCTTTTCCTTCTTTAATCACATGCATATTTGCTGTCCCTGAAGGAGCAGCTGTTCCTCGGGTGGCCTGGCCAGTAACTAAGACTGAGGGCTTAGGACAGATTCCTCGGCCCATCTGGCAATTGCACTTTTTGCTCTGCTGATTAGGTGCATATCCTGAATTAGGTACATTTGCGAGGCTTCAACGTTCTTTCATGAATTGGGCAGAACCAGATGAGAAACATCCGCAGGCAACCCCCACTGACAGGCCAAGCTGCTGGTGGGACACAGGTGTTGGGTTTGAGATCAAGGAGCAGACACCAGCACTGTTCTATCTTGGACTAGCAGGGAGAAAAGTCACACGGCCAGAAGTCAAAGCACGGGACAGGGAGAGTGTCGCCTCTTATCTACAAAATTAGAAACAATTTTTAAAATGCCACAGGCTTTTGTCAGTCTGTTCTGTGATAGCTCTGCAAGTACAAAGTGAAATTTTTAGTGGTCGTTAAAGATCTTACAAATGTCACCAACTCATTATCTAGTAGAAGAAGGGTCACCTGAGACGAATAAATAAGTAAATGCTGGGCAGCATCTGGGGGGATGTTATAGGAGGGAAGGGGAAAGTGCCTGTTAAAGACTTTCTAATCCCATGGGGATCTGGGAAGGGGACAGGAGCAGAAAGTACAATGACGCCTGGGTCTAGGAAGAGGACGGGACAGATCGCATGGTGGTTCAGGGCATGGAGTCAGATTACTTGGGTTCAAATCTCAGCTGTACAGCTTGTTACTTGTGTGGTCCTAGTGGCTTTTTAATCTTTCTGAGCATCAGTTTCTTTATCAGGGAAATAAGGACGATAATATCACATTTATTAGAAGGATCAACCTAGATAATTCACACACCGTGTGTAACACTGTGGACGGACCTCCTAGAGTTGCTGAGGAATGCTCTTTCTGGACCCAGTCTTGCAGTGGCCCTTCCCTGGAGGGAGAGGGTAGCTCCCTTAGTTATTACAGTATTAGCCTCTGTTTTATTGGGCAATGTGTGGCCGCTCATTAGAGAGCAGTGAGTAGCATGAGAAGAAACATGAGATAAAGCAAAGAGGAGGGTCGCCTGTGTGGCTCAGTCGGTTAAGCATCTGCCTTTGGCTCAGGTCATGATCTCAGGGTCCTGGGATCGAGCCCCGCATCAGGCTCCCTGCTCAGCGGGGAGTCTGCTTCTCCCTTTCCCTCTGCCTGCCGCTCCTCCTGCTTGTGCTTTCTCTTTCTCTCTCTCTCTCTCTGTCAAATAAATAAATAAAATCTTTAAAAAAAATAAAGCAAAGAGCAAAGGAGTCATAAAAACAGGGCTACTCAAATGATATGTGAAACCATATTTCTGTTTATTTCTAAATTTTTAACCCTTTCTCCCTTCCCTTCCTCCCTCACCTCCTGGTTGCTAAAGGTTTTACTCTGCATCACCTACACCCCGACATTTGACCTGAACGGGAGCGCTGTGCTGAAGATTGCAGAGGTGAGTGCCCAGTCCTCCCCAGCATGCACGTGCTCTGCTCCTTTTCTGCCTGCTCACAGCTGCCTCCCTGCAGGCTGGGAGAAGTCCCGGGGGGAGCTGAGGCCCAGCAGTGAGGTGAGCCCTTCTCTGATCATTACCTTGGGGAGTTTCCACTAAGGAATTGATCTGTAGGAAGCAGGCAGTGGGCTCCGCCATCCTTGGTCATGATGCTCTGCATGCTTTGGTTTGCTTCATTTGAGGTTTTAAAATGGAAATAACAGTACTAGTTCTCCCAATGCTGCTACACCTGGGTGCTGTGCCTCGTTTCGCCTTCTGAGTCTATTTTTATGAAGAATAATTGAAAAACATTTGATTTTAAGAAATGGTTTTTAAGAAACCAGGTATGAGAGTGAGAGAGACATTTACTGATGAAATTCCAGGCCTGTCTCCTAAAGCCCGATGAACACATTTTGTAACTATCATTGGAAAGCCTTCTCTTTCCCATCTGTGTTGCAGGCTAGGGAACTGTGCACCTTCCAGCACTCCCAAGAGTATGTCCAACAGAATTCTTGGCTTCTCCAATGCCTGGCAGATGCCTCTGGCTTTTGGAAACATTAGCATTCCAAAGCTATACTTTAATACGCTTGGAATAATTTTCCTTCCATTTCTTGAAAAGAGTATCTTCAGAATTCATGTGTTTTGACAGGAGTACATGTGCAGACCTCGAAGAGGCAATGACATTCTAAATTCCGAAATTAGGAAGAAAAAGAAAGCTTAACCTTAAGCGCTCATGGGTATTATTTTTTACAGTGATGATCATTTCTTGAGTATACCAGGTAGATACTTAGCATCTTGCACATATTTTCTTTTTTTTTCTTTTTCTCATTGTTGAGATATAATAGGCAAACAAAAATTCTATATATTTTAAGTCTGCAACTCGATGTTTTGATATACATACACATTGTGAAATAACTACCACAATGAAACTAATTAAAATATCCATCAATTCACATAGTTAACCTTATCATGAGTAGTATTTATATTGGCCTCTACATGTGCCTTCTATGGTATTGTGTGGCATTAAAGAGTGAAGATTAAGAGAAAATCATTTAGCTGACCTCTAACTACAATATAAATTCCCAAATGTGTATTTATATAGGTAGAAAGAACACTTTTCTTTAACCTATTTATATGTTTTACTCCATATAAGTAAAGAAGTAGGATAGCTGTCAGTAATTTTTTTCAATTGATTTTTAAGGGACACCTGTGTGTGTTCTTATTATTTGCAGGTTCCCTTTTTTGTTGTGTGTGTGGTGAGAACACTTAACCTGAAATCTACCTTAACACATTTCTAAGTGTACAATGCAGTAATGTTACCCACAGGCACCACGTTGCTCAGCAGGTGTCTAGAACTTATTCATTTCTTGTAACTGAAACTTCAGACCCATTGAAGAGTGACTCCCTACTCTGCCCTCCCCTCAGCCCCTGGCGATTACCAGCCTACTCTCTGGATGCATTGGACTATTTTAGGTACCCCATGTCAGTTTGCTTTTAAAATGACAAATGTGGTTTCTGATTAGAGTAAGAAAACAGGTTGACATCTGCGTAGCCTGTTAGCCCTTTGCCATGTGAAGGGCAAGAAGGGAAGTGCAGCTGTTCCTGCCTAGCCAGCCCCACACCCCCACCACTGATGGAGCTTGGGGGTGGGCGGGCACAGGTTGTTTCAGGATCTTCAAGAGGGGAGGAGAGCTACCAGGAGTTCCCAAGCTGCTTTCCGGAGGAAGAGGACAAGGTTGCCTTTACCGTCCTCCCAGGAACCAGTTTTTGAATGAGAACCTTATCAAGATGTCATTCCTGAGCAGTGGACACACTACCCTGACCTGCCCGAGTTCAGGCTGTTTACGGAGGGTAGCTAGAAACCAGAGTAGAGACTCAGCAGGCCTTTCCAGATAGAATAAAATATCAAAACACAGTGGTCTCTACCAAAACCTATAAAGGAAAAACAAAGCTTTTTTTTCGTTTTTTGAAAAAAAAAAAAAAAATTCAGCCCCAAAGCAATATAGAGCTTAGCGGCAAGAACCCCGGCTGGGAGCTCCGGGCTCTGGGGGAGCACTGTTTGGATGTAAATCCCAGCTCTACCACCTCCCACCCATCTGCGGTGTTGCCGTGGCTACCTCCCTGGGCCTGCGTTTGTTCTCTGTGAAAGCAGTGTGAGCAGTGTGCTTTTGCCATTTGGGCAAGGGAGATAGAATCCATGGAAGAAGCTGTTAGTGCAGACCCATCCTCACAGTAAGTTCACGCCACTGCCATTAGGAGCTGCAGGTTGCTGATGATGTCCACATTGCACTGGACAGTGCCGATCTGGCCAGGGCCCTGAAAGGGTCACCATTATGTAATCTGGCACAGGATGAGCAGATCTATTTATATGAAAAGCATAGCAACAATTTATAACTATAAGCATATGGATCCGGAGTTACAAATACTAGATTATTAGATGAATCATATATAGATAATTTAAGAAAGAATAATAGTAGAACCATCTGAAATCATTGTTTACATTAGCTCCACAAGAGAGGAATAAACATTTTTCTCACTGGCCCTAGTTCCTCAAATTTGCAAAACAGCTCAGAGCCTTTCAGTTCGTACCATAGAAATCACTTAAGAAGTGATTTTGCATCAACAAAAAGAATTAACTATGTAAGAAAGTTACACTGCCACAAAAAATGATAGCGTTCCGTAGACTTAAGTGCAGTAATTTTGCAGGTTCTCAAGTGCTTCTCTCCTGCTCATTTAGCCTTCGAAGGTCTACATCTCGGTTTTGAAAGCAGGACCTCTCAGCCTAAAACCACCACTTAGCTTCTGGGAGCCTTCTTAGTTGTATCTGAACTTTTCATAAAAATAAGTCTTTAACTTGATGAAAAAAGAATGTCCTGTTGTCACTTCTGCTATAGCTTGGGAAACAATTTATAAAAACACCTTAAAATCAGCCATTTGAAACTCCTGTGGAAATGTTGAGAAAGAATCCAGACATTCTCTTCTTTTTTACCCTGATGCACAGTGACTATTACTCAAAAACAGTGTTTACCCTGAAACCTGTTGATCAGGAAATGGGGATGTGTACTTAACTATGAAAAATGAGGCCATTTCCCCAAGGCACTGTTGAAACTATTAAAGGATCATTAAGCACTCAAAAGGTAAATAAAGCCTTCATCTGTATGTCTAACTTTAACTTGCTTAAGTAAACTGTAATAATGAAAGTTTTTCAGATCACGGTTTTTCATGATACAGGAGGAATAAGACATATCATCAAATTTGGAAGTGGGTAATTATGAAATATGCAATATGTGTTTTCTGTTCAATTTCATGAATAATCAGAAATAAAAACTCCCTATGGATACATAATCTTTCTCGTCATTGGTTGAAAGCTAGACAAGATTTCTCTTAGTATGATGCCCAAATTAGCAGATCTGCTGTTGAGTTTTCCAAGGGTAGTTACCTTAATATTGGAAAAAGCTGTGGGAGTAAAAATTGCCAAAGTCTTTGGGTAAAGGAAGAAGAGAAGCCATAGCCAGAAGCTCTGTGGAGTGAATTTGAAAATGGTTAATGTTCCATTGGAAAGATTCCGGATGTATTCTCATGGCTGCTCAAGGCTCCTCTGTGGGATTTTTCAAAGTGAGAAAGCCTTGTTTATAAATATATATTTGCTGGTTTGATCTAATTGACTCATAGGAAACTTCGAGTCTTTGATCCTTGTCAAGTTCCAAGCAAAGTCTGTCTCAAAGACCATTCTTTTTCTTTAAGATTCTTAGTTTCAGGGTCCTCCCTCTTTCACTCCATCTATCCATTCATCCCTCAATTGCAAAACACTGGTTAATAATAGTAACCAGCTAATAATGGTAGTTACTAGCCTTTGAGTCCCTAGGGTATGTCAGTAAGTTGTGTTTTTTGTACATTCTCCTCTCATCTTTACCCCAACCAAGACAGATAAAGAATCCCAAGAAAAACGAGGATAATTTGCTTGTCCAAGTTTCTACTGTGAGACGTTCAAATTCAGACTTTTTATATTTCAAATATGGGCTGTTAACCACCATGGTATATTGCTTCCTCCTATCAGTTTTAGAAAATGTTAGTAGGATCTTGCCATAATAATATTGGCAACCAGCTGAAATTCTTAGGAGTCTCATCCACCCTGGATCTTTACCATGGTGCTTAGTTAAAAAATGGCTGTATGGTGTTTTCACATGTGAAGCAGAAGTATTGATAAATTTTACTTTTTTGTGACCATAGATGCAAGTGACTGTCAGGCAGGTGCCACTTTCTTGGGTATCTTCATGTATTGATACTCAGTTTATCTTTTCTGAGCATTATGCTAGCATCAGATGATCTGATGTTTATGTGTTTATAGTTTCGTTTAGTGTCACTTTTACCCCGGGGAGTTTAAAACCATTAAGGCTGAAGACCTGCTACCAATTCAATGATTCTAGTTGTCACTAAAGTATTTTTTTTTAATTGGACTGACTTCTACCTCCTGAATGTTCAATGATACTTTTTTTTTAGTTTAATGTAGTAGCATTATTCCTGAGACAGCAAATAAAATATTATACAGTTAAGGAGATTAGTCTGCAGATAAAATCTAGAAAAAAAGTACACAGGTGACCCAGTCAGTTTTTCTTAGAAGCATCTTGTTTGTTATGTTCTCTCTAAAAATGGGAGGAGTAACCCCACCTCCTGGCAAGAAAACTGGTCAAGGGAGCCCAGCCCGGACTGTTACCTCAAATTGGCTGAGGCCACTGAAGTAAGGAAATCCTGTTCTAAGGAGTGTCTCCACTTTCCCTTCTGGAAACCATTTCTTTTCTTCCTTCTGGGCCTGTTTCTTTACTGACTCTGATTTGACTCCTCTGAAGTGTCTGTTCTTTGGTTGTTTGCTGCCGGCCAGGTTTTGAGCAAACGAGTCCTTTTGCAGAGACTTTCCACACTTCCCCGTAATGTCTGACTTACACAGCTCTTAAAAGAACTTATGTGGAGTTAGAAGACACACAGAACAGTGCAGAGATCCTCTCTACTTCATTTTGAGGTAATTCATAGGGCAGAGGCTAGAGTTCAATAGACCTTCTGTAGACCAGGAATTAAAGGGTTGAGGTGTCTTAAGCCATTTTAATATGCAGCTTAAGCCAAGAAGAATATGGAGGAGGAAGAGGGAAGTCACAATCAGAGGTGTCCATGTATGCTTGGGCACTTTAAAAATTTTCCAAAAGGAAAACCAGCAAATTTCCCCACCCAGCATTGTGGTCCAACTTACTTACACACATATTTCTTAGGAATAATAAAATAACTTCAGTTCACTCTGTGTGTGTGTGGGGGGGTGTGCGCACACACCCACGTGCATCAGCATGAGGTGCCTTCTGTCACATACCCACCTGTTACAACTGTTCACCTGGAAACGGCCTGGCCACCGAGTTGTCATCGTGATTCAATGTAGTTTAGACTTGTAGTAATAATGAAAATTGTCTATGGTTCTAATGTGAGCAGCAAGCTTTCATGATCTTCCCTATATAAAAAGACATTTCTTCTGCTTTCTTGTAGCTTAATCTTTGATCTTTCTATGTTTTATCACCAGAAATTATTTTTCATCTCCATAAAAATTTTCCCATTGAAAACATACTAGCTCTTCTGTTTATGGAACTTGTTACTCAGTATCATGCACGGTTTTAACAAAGATTTGCCAGGATCCCCGTTCAGATAGGAAAGAGAAGGCAAATGCACAGTTCAACAAAGTGAAGGTCCTATGTATTTTGCAAAGCTAAACAGATTTCTCTTGTGGCGGCTACTTTAAAATTTGTTATCACTTTGGCCAATGTTGAATATCCACTACATCCTATTATGCTGCTTCATATGAAATAACAATGATTCTGCCCTGGGTTTAACCTCGTACTGTTATTTATCAGTCTTCTTCCCTGAAGATACTGCTTACTTTTGTTGCCTGTGTATGGCTTGCGGACTTGTGTTTTCTTGTTCTTTTTCCTTCTTCTTTCGGCATTTGTTTTGCCTTATTAACTCTGTGGTTTTGCCCTCAGCTGTGTGTCGCATGCCATAAAGCTGGACGTCCACAAATGCATGAAATGGTTAAAAGGTCCATTACGAAACTCCTCACTGCCCTGTGTCTTCGTGCGCTCCCTGGCCACCAGGGTCCTGTGGCTTTTCACAAGGTATTTGACTTGGCCCTTTGAGCCTCTGGCAGAGAAACAGGACTGGGGCTCTTAAGTGTCAACTCTGCACTACGAAAGCAAAGGGCACGGGGAGGTAGAAGTGCCACCGGAAATACTACACAAGTAAATTGATGAGCCTTCTCCCAGAAACTCAGCCTGCCTTTGGACTTGCTATTCTCTCAACTTCTCTGATTCAGTGTGCTCATTTTAGCACTACTCCAAGGTAGAGGCAAAAAAACATTTACAAAGTGAAAAAGCATTGGCTTTGAATATAGTGATCAGGTTTATCATGAAAACCCTCATTCTAGGACCCTTCCTGGTTTACCAGTTTATTGTGATTATAGAAAGTATGAGAACCTTTTCTTTTTTTTTTTTTTAGAAGATGTCAAGATAGCTGATAGAGCATTTCTTTCTGTGGACTTAAAGATAGTGATATTATCAGGTACATGGTCATTTTTATATTTAAAAGGATACCCTTTTATCATAGTAAGTACTTTACACATCCAACTTTAGCAGGATGAGCTTCTTAGATTAACCCCTTTTTTTTTTTTTTTAATTAAGTAGCCTCCACACCCAGCACAGAGCCCAATGCGGGGCTTGAACTCACAACCCTGAGATCAAGACCTGAGCTGAGATCAACAGTCGATGTTTAACTGACTGAGCCACCCAGGCGCCCCAGATCAATACCTTTTTTTTTTTTTAAAGCAGCGTAAACATGCAATGAGTCATCCCCAGTATTGTACCCCTGGGATTAGCAACTAGCCACTAGAAGTGGTAGTGACGTTAAAACTCAAAGAAATGCATTTGGTATTTAGGAAGTTCTTGCCCGGTTACTGTACCGTATGCATTACATAAACTCCAGTTCCTCAGCTGTGCTTTCTTTCACGGGTCTAAAGTAACCGATAAAAGTTTTGAAGGGAGGTTGTAGAGCTGGTATTGCTGTCCAAATTTAAAAGAATCGTGCTTAGATTATGAGTTCAACTCTCGAAATAGCTACTCTTTCATCTTTAATGCTTCTGCAGCTTCGAGATCCCCCCTCAATTTATGTCAGAGCTCAGAGATCTTAAAGATCAACAGCTATAAAGATTTCTGGGGAGAATGTAGGCTTTAAAGAAAACTGTTAAATTTTGAGGCACGAGTAGTCCTGCTGTGACACTATTGAGAATTTGTTGCATCAAAGGGAAGCACCGCACTCATTTGGGTGTATTTCCCGGGTTTGTGCATCATTTCACGACGTGCCAAGTAAACGCCTTCAGGGATTAAGACACCTTTTTTCTACATATGTGTAATTTGTGCCTTCACTTACATTATAATCCATGATCATTGGAGAAAATGAATTTAAAACTGACGTGCCCTTCAATGGTAATTTGAAAAATAAATTATTTTGGAAATTACTTCTCTTTTTTAGCTAAAAATGAATTAATCTAAGCCAACTTCCAATTAAATGTATGAGTTTTAAATGCTCACTTGGACTATTAAGCATTCAATAGATAAATTTAACTGTTGGAAAATATTCACTTTTACATCATTATTTTACCAAAAAGGTTATGACAGTGAGGCCTGACAGAAAGTTCCAGCATAAGCAGTAGTGGCCACAAAGGTTAACACTTAGTATCTCTTCCATGTGACTTCTCATCCATCAAATTAAGTTTGTCATTGAGGTGAGAACACTTTGTTTTTGTTGTAGATAATCTCAGAGTTCTTCCTAGAAAAATAATTTTGGTACATTAAATCTCTTTTTTATTTTATTTTATTTTATTTATTTATTTTATTTATTTATTTATTTATTTTTAAGATTTTATTTATATATTTTGAGAGAGAGAGAATGAGAGACAGAGAGCATGAGAGAGGGTCAGAGGGAGAAGCAGACTCCCTGCCGAGCAGGGAGCCCGATGCGGGACTCGATCCTGGGACTTCAGGATCATGACCTGAGCTGAAGGCAGTCGCTTAACCAACTGAGCCACCCAGGCGCCCTAAATCTCTTTCTTTTTGTGGGTCTAAATATACTTAGTAAACAGGAAAGGATGACCTAACTGATGGACAGAAAATAGCAGGTATATTTAAAGCGCACATTTATTGTTATGCCCATCCCTATAGCTTCCAGAAGACTTAGAGGCAATAAAATCTGAAAAGTCATAACATTAAACATCATCATCATCCAATAAGGGATTTTTTTTTTTTTTTTTTGCAAATTGGGATTTCTTCATGCTTGCAGCCCTCAGGGGGTCTTCCCAGGTCCAAGTAGACATTCAGATTTGCAAGACCCAAATAGGCCACAATTGGCATTATTATTTGCTTCATAGATACATACCAGGGAAGAGAAGCAGGGCCCTGGCAGGCATTTCTCTCTCCCAGGAAGGAGTCCTTGCAGCAGTCCAGCGGCTAGTCTGTGGATCTCAAATGTCAGCCTCGGAGCAAGAAGACGGGAGCCACCTTGGTGGGTGCAGTCATCTTGGCTTAGGAGCCCCCATATTTCCACCATGGAGGAACCCGAATTCCATACCAACTCCAAGAACAGAGCTGGCTGACATCCCTCGGAGGACGTGAGCAACGACAAGATTCACCCAGGGAACCCAAACCTGGGCCTTCTCACCAAGTTTTTAAAGTCCATCCACAGCTTTCCCAATTCAGATGCAGCTTAGTAATTGAGAGACACTTTCACCCTAAGCCATTGCTGCTTAGTAACCCAGCCAATGGTCCACCTTTATCAGGTGTCCAGAAGAACACAGCTAGGGAGTTAACCCAAGATCAAACTTGTTTATAGTGCAGCAGAAAGGGATTCACTAGCCCTTTCCCCATACTTGATAACTCAGGAGTGAGTAAATTCTGTTCCTGGCTGGCCATGGAAGGAGCCTTTCCTGACTAATTTCCAACCATCTGAGTTTGCGCTCAGTAGAATTATTTGGCATATCTAAAAAATCACTAATTTGCATTCTCCTATGATGCTCAGAATAGTAAGTTCTGAGAGTGATAATCTTTAGGAAAATGTTACTTGCCTATAGGCCTAGAAACAAATTTTCAGGGATTTTAAATATTTATAGTGCTCATTGATAATTAGTCCTAAATCAGGCTGACTTTCTATTCAAGAGGGATTTAATATCCTCTCTGGTTAATTCCAAAGCATGTTGGTAATGAACTGATATCTACAGAACGTATATGTTGCTATCTTATCTCTTTACCAGGTGTGCATTGAGACATACATATGTAGCTGTCACCAGCGTAGTATAAACACTGCTGTGCGGGCAACTCTCAGTCAAATGCTGAGTGACTTGACTTTACAGTTACGACAAAGGCAGGAAAACACGGTGAGCGGGCCTGCCGGCGTCCCTGTGTAACTAACTGCATGCTGTGTGTCCCACATCCTAGATGCTCCATCCCCCACCTGCTGCCAGGGAGGCTTCCTCCTGAAACAGTAGGAGGGGCTTGCTTGGTTTAGAAGAACATTTATTTATATAAATTAAGCTCTTTATATTTTTGCCTGTTTAAAGTCTTGAGAGTTGTTTTTCCTTATGGTTCCTATCATTTTTTAGTCATTATAATTCTGTTTTTTTAATCATTTTTTAAACTCAGATTGAAAACTTTTTTATAAAAACATTGTATTAATTTGCTAACAGATACCAGAAGTAAGTTCAAAATTAGGAAAAATTAATAGCAATTAATTACCTGCTCTGAGGTTTGGTGTCGGTTTCTCTTTGTTAACTAAAATATTGTTCCAGGAGATCTTCCTTCACCTGCTGGGGCCATCAGGGTAAAGCTCAATTTGCCTTCTCTCTGTCACCAAAGCCCGTTGGAGCTTATTGATCTAAACTTGAACAGATTGTCTAAAATTGAGCGTTCCCGGGAAAAATGTAAATGTAATTGGCTTCTCATATATTTTATCCTTGGGGAATGTTAATGAAGAATGATTCTTCTTTAAAATAAGTATGTGGGTTTTTTTAAATCTGCTTCTGAATAATTCAGATTAAAATTCTTTAAAAATCTGCAAGAAGTATTCTGAAATGAACACTTTAGTCTCTACAATAGGAAATCTCAGTGGCAGTCTGAAATATCTCAGAAATTAACTTTACAGAAATGAAGATCTCATGTTTAACTTAAATCATTTCTAATTTTTACCTTCAATTATTTTCTAATTTTTAGAGTTGAGTGGAACCTTAGGGTTTGTCTAGTCAAATTCTTTTATCCCTCATTTTACAGATGAGGAAGATGAAGCCCAGAGAGGTGAAATTAAATTCATTTTAGAATGAATGAGCTTATCAGTGAAAGAGCCAGAACTAAGCCCCTTGGCTCCTAACTGCTGCCGTGGCAGCCAGGTCTGAGAAAGCAATACTAGTCTGAAAAAGCAAATACTGATCTTTTTTTTAATATTTGCTATGTCCACAGCCCAAGTTTCTATTAAAAAATTGTTTTATCTCAAGATACTATTACCTTAGGTTACCCTTTGTTAAAAACTACTTCATTTAAACTAGGATTTTGCATCTGATAGCATGGGACTAGTAGTTAAAAAGCAATTCATATTATAAATAGAAAACATGCTAAGGAAAAAACACTTAAGAAAAAGTGTTAAAAACACATTTTAATAGAAGTAAACCTGAGATGTAGAAAATCTTACATTAATCATACACTCATAGTTCATCCTTGCTAAATGGCAACGTGATGAAATAATTTAATACTAATGGTGTCTTAATGTTTTAAGATGAAACATTTAAATGAAACTTTGTAGTTTCAAATTGGTTTCAATTGTATCCCTTCACTTAATCTTATTTTTAAATTTTAAGGAGAAGAATATTAGGTTTCAAGTAAAATGACTCAGCCTTTTAGTTCACGTTGCTCTTCTGTAAGATGGGTGACAGGTAGACTCTAGAGGTCTGGATAAAACCCAGAGTGTGTGACTCTTGATCGCGGGGTTATGAGTTTGAGCCCCATGTTGGGTGTAGAGATTGCTTAAAAATAAAATCTTAAAAAAAAAACAACAAAACTTAGAGGGTTATCTGCCTCTGCTTGTGGTATTATATGTCTAATCAGCCCTTTGGTCCTGCTCATCACTGACCATCTGGACTTACCCAACCTGAGGCAAGATCCCAAATTAGGTGGAAAATTAGTGTTTCCTGTCATTTCCTTTCTGTTACTCATACAGGCCCCAGAGATGTTTCCATGTCCCAGAAAAGTAATTCTCAGGATGCTAATATTTGAAGCACCTGGGATATCTACTAGAGGGAGACCTAAGTTTTGTCAGCTAAGAATGGTGATTTTTAAAAAGCTAATAAAGGGAAGTGGTCTATAGGAGTGGTGAGGTTCATTCAAAGGAGACTGTGTCTTCTCCCATGGCATACCTAGCCTTACCTGGGGAAGATGTGTAGTGTGTAGCACAACCCATCACAGGAAGGAATCCTGGGCCACCTCAGAATTAGGAAGATTTAAATACAATGGAAAGAAAATAAATCTAGCATGAAATGTACATTTGATCCTTGAACAACATGGGTTTGAACTGTGCAAGTCCACTAATATACAGATTTTCTTCATAAATATAGTACTGTACTTTTTCTTATGATATTCTTAATAACACTTTCTTTTTTCTATCTTACTTTATTAGAAGAATACAGACTATATTACATATAGCATACAAACTATGTGTTAATTGACTTGTTTATGTTATTGGCAAGGTTTCTACTCAACACGAGGCTCTTAGTAGTCATGTTTTAGGGGAGTCCAAAATGACACACAGATTTTTGACTCTACGGGGTGATCGGTTCCCCCAACCCCCACATTGCTCATGGGTCAACTGCATCTTCAACCTCATGTCCATCCCTACTTCCAGGACAGATTATGCAATTTGATTTTGTACCATCAGGATCTTAGAGTTATTATCAAGCTTTATTGTTGAATTATTTAGATGATGAAAGCCTTTGTTAAATTATAAGTTACTAATTTCAAAAAGCAAAATGCCACATGTAAATACTTAGGGAGTAGGTGGTAGTGTTTCTCCTGTCCTTTAAAAATGAATTGAATGTATTTCCTCCAGAAAATGTTGTTCTACACTCAGTATTTAGCCACTGCCGAGCTGTAGACATTGACGTAGCCTTTCACGATGAATGCTATGGAAGCAGCTGAGCTTGCAAACTGATGAACAAAGAATAGTAAAAATATGTGCCCGTAACAAGTTTAAAAGACAAAGCGGTGCCCTGGGATGATTTTTATGTCTGGCAGTTGATCAGCCTGAAAATGCCCTCTTCTCTCCCAGTGCTGAGGTAGGGAGACTGAAGAACCTTTCTATAGACCTGTATTTTAAAATTCAGGAACCTGATCCTTCTTATTACTAAGAGTCCTTCAGTAGGTGCCAATCAAAGTGTAGTCTGTGACCTTGGAGCCAACTCTGGCAGTTTACACAGGGCTAGCTCCAAGCCCTAGCTCAGCAGCCTGGAATCATACAGTGCGTTAAGGGCTTAAAGCTTGTTGAAGATTGTGGAGTCTGGAATGAATTATTTTAGGAACTGATGAGCTCAGTTCCAGACATCAGAGTCTTCTCCTAAATACTATGAATAATGAAATGCTATCAAGAGCTGGAGGGTGCACTTAGGAAAGTTAGTTGAGCCCAGAGCACTCAGAATGACATTTGTTCCCTAGAATTTTCCATTGTCTAAGAGTCAGGAATTTTTGTGCCTGAATCTCCTAATTGTCCTGTGTGTGTCTCCCTTCCTAGATAATTGAAAACCCAGATGTCCCACAGGAATTCAGGAATCCAGGTATTGGATTTGATTTTTCTAGTTCAGTTTAAAAAAGCGAGTCTAAGAATGCCCACTGTGTGCTTGGCGCTGGGAATGTAGAGGTGAGTGGGGCTGTCTCAGGGAGCGGAGCTTCTGCTTAGCTTTGCCTCAGTACTTCGTCAGCCTTTCCTTAACCTTCCTTCTGGCCCTGCACCCTGCCCCCTGTGCCTGTTTCTGTCCCAACCCTGGGAGAGTCACTCTTCATATACCTTCCTGTTGGACCCTGGGGTTTTTTTGTGGCTTTGGTTTTTTTGGTTGTTTTTTTTTTCTTTGTCATTGTTTTGTTTTTGTTTTGTTTCGTTCTCCATGAAGTCACGTTTATAATTGTTAAAATGAGAATTGGCTAGAGGGCTGTGGAAACCTGATCGGCATAGAGCTATTGTACCAAAGTAAGTTTGTGAAATGCCATTTTTTTCATATGAAACAAATGAATCTCACAGGGAATCTGACAGTAGGACAAACAGCTCAGTGTAAGTGGCAGATGAAATCAAGGTAAGGAATTTCATTCTGACCTAGAGGAAAAGGAAAAACAAAGGTCTACCTATAACTGACAAGCAGTTTGGTTTTTGTTTTTTTCGGTCTTTTGTTTTGTGTTTTAGTTTGGTAGTATTGTATATATACAATTTTTTTTTTAATTTTTTTATTCTTATGTTAATCCCCTTACATTACAACATTAGTTTTAGATGAAGTGTTCCATGATTCATTGTTTGTGCACAACACCCAGTGCTCCATGCAGAATGTGCCCTCCTAAATACCCACCACCAGGCTAACCCATCCTCCCACCCCCCTCCCCTCTAGAACTCTGTTTTTCAGAGTCCATCGTCTCTCATGGTTCATCTACCCCTCCGATTTCCCCCGCTTCATTCTTCCCCTCCCGCTACCTTCTTCTTCTTCTTCTTTTTTTTTTTTTTTCTTAACATATATTGCATTATTTGTTTCAGAGGTACAGATCTGAGATTCAACAGTCTTGCACAATTCACAGCGCTTACCAGAGCACATACCCTCCCCAGTGTCTATCACCCAGTCCCCCCATCCCTCCCACCCCACCCCCCACTCCAACAACACTCAGTTTGTTTCCTGCGATTAAGAATTCCTCATATCAGTGAGATCATATGATACATGTCTTTCTCTGTTTGTGAAATAAGTCAAATAGTTTGGTAGTATTGTTTTCTGAAAGAGAAATGAAAAATTCAGACCATCTAATTTAAAAAAATGGAAATATGTTTTATTTCAGATTTTATTCAGTAATTTAAAAAATACTGGAAAATCTGCTTTCCTTTGATATTTTTGCATGTTCATAATAAGAAAAGGCAGGGGTGAGGGGGAAGGTGGTTACAGAGAGGATGAAAAGGGGAATGAAAGGGGAAGAGAAAAACAGCCAGTCACAATTAGGAGACACAGAGTGAAGGAAAGAAGTGAGAAAGGCATTAAGTCATCTCTGAAGGCATTGCTGGAGCATATGGTTTTAATTGCCTCTTGCTCCCCTCTTGGGCTGCAGACTGGAATGGGCTTCAGCACCTTGCCTCCTGTGGAAGCTCCCAATGTCACACTCCACTTGTCGTTTCCTCTCTTGGGCCACCACGGTTCCGTAAAACCTTCACTTTGGTTTTATAAACCAAAGAGGAGGTCCAAGTCCTCTTGGCCAAAGGTTTATCTTTAAAAATATAATATTAGTAAAAACTGGATGGACTTACTGACATATATCTAAAATGGAGTTTAAGGACTACTTATGGGTTTTATTTATTTTTAGTGGTGTCTTATTATACTTTGTCATTTCTCAGGTTTGTTTCTGCATGGAAGGTCATAAATTCTCAGGATTAGCCATTTCTCTTTCCCACCCTCCTCTGACTTTACTGTCATTTTCTATCTTTCACTCTTGCCATTTTTTCTCCATCTACCTTGACCTCATGGTCATTTTTTTTTTTTATGTCTACATTCATCAAATACTCAGCCACAATTATATAGATCTTTAAAGGTGTTTTAAATGCTTCCACTTTTTACTTCACTGGGCCCAGCAATTCTGTAAGATTGAGATTATTTGTCCCCATTCCACCAAACGGAGAACTGAAGCTTACCCAAGCTCACGCGATCAGCAAGTTGTGGACCAATACCTGAACTAAATTTCACCCTTTCTCCAATACGTTCAGTGCTTCTGTGGGAGTTTTGTTGCTAGATTCTGGGCATGAACATGTTTGGAGGGAAAATTCTTTCTTCTGGCATTGGTCCCTGCTCTGTTAGCAACTGTGTGCCCTGAGGATGCTGGGCAAATAGGTAAAGTAGTGCAGATGGGGACTAAGTTATTTTGCCCTCTTTCCCTATTTCCGTAGTTTGAGAAGCCCATCTTTCTTCCACGCTGCCATGTTTAATATAACTTGTGTTTTAGTTTGGTAGAATTCTATTCTATATTCTTCCACGCTGCCATGTTTAATATAAACACAGTTATATTTGATATAACTCAAATCTGCTCAAGAGATCCAGAAATTCCAAAGGTCAGAATAAGGGATACATTTGTAGTCTACGGGCCTACATATTGAGAAAATTGTTGTCAGTTGTGTTGTTTCTTAAATTAATCAAGTCTCCTTTTGTTAAGTGTGAATGAGTTTTATTTATAATAGTCAACAATGTATCATTTTCTTTCTGAAATGTGTTTTTGAAGTGTTTTACTTCAGAAACAAATAATTATGTTTTCTATGATCATTTTAATGACCTAAGGAAGGCTCAGCAACTGAACCTTCTTTTCAGTTCTGAAAACATCAAAAGCAGAGGATGGGAAAGACTGTTGAGGAAGCTTCTAGTGCCCTCTGCCAATGTCTAATGCTTGTAACCTCTTCTGTTTGAAGGGTCGACAGTTGAATCCCTCTGTGATGACCTTGTCTCTGTGCTCACTGTTCTGTGTGAGAAGCTGCAAGCCGCCATCAAGTAAGTGCCTCCGACATTGGTGTTCTTATTCACCAATGGTCTATTTCTGAGATAACTTTTGCCTACAGCATCACTCACAATTGCAGATTATAGGGACAGTGGTTACTCCCATTGGTATTCACCTGTCATTCCTGAGAAATCGATTCAATGACTTTGGGCAAACCCACATTACCAAATACCATGACTGAAGGATATAATTTTCTCATGAGACATGGGAAAACAATAGCCTAAAAGAAGACTTAATTCCTCTAGCATGGAGCTGAGTGAGAAGGATGTTGGGTAAGAGGTAGTTGACAAAGCTAGTTGATGTATCCTGGGCACGTCCCAGCTGTGTGACTCTAAATGAGTCTTCTCATTGACCTCCATTAATGGCAAGGATGGGCTCTGTGGTCTTTCTATATTCCTTGTAACATTTCCCAAGCCTGTGAGTTCACATGCATATTTTTGAAAAGAACACATTGCTCTGACTTTTATAGACTCATTTTTTTGCACGCCAGTTTAATCCTTGATATTAGATCATATAGATGATATCCAATGCTCCAACTCTCCATGCAGTAAGTTAACTTATTAATTTATGCATCTATGTCATAAAAGGGCTAGACTTTCCAAGATGAGATGAAAAGTCTTTACCAGCTACATATATAGTTAATTGCAAAATCTACAACACAATAAGGTTCTGAAATGCCCTTTGAGTTATGAAAGACACTATCATTTGCTGGTAACTAGAACATTTGATAATTCAGAAAACTTTACTCATAGAATTTCCTATATAGTAATAAGTTGGGAGACATAGTCTCGTTGAAACATTAGTGAGGCCTTTCACTTTGCTGGAAAAGTTGCAGAAACTTGTAGGGTTTTTGTTTTTGTTTTCGTTTCTTTTTTAGTAAACTTAGGATTTTTGAAAGCTAAGCTTAGAATGACTTTTCAGAGTTTTTGCCCAACGGTTTCTATATCAGTGTATCCATCATTCCTCTAGATCACCTGCACATTTTGACCAAATTAAGCTCCCTTCACATTAGGCACTTAAACAATGAAGAGACCCATTTAATCCATAGGTAGTACAAGCGAAAAAGAAAAGCGCTTCTTCCACAGTGCTTCTTCAACTGCAAGTTTCTCTCACCCCAGGACCCTAGGCAGAACATTATTTTTCCTCAGAGGGGATATGTCTAAAAGCAGATGCCGGGTCTAATTGGCTTCTCCTGTACTCTGCTCAAGTCCCCATCTCCCCTGACCATGGAGAGTTGGGGCCATAAGCCTGAGACTCAGACTGTGATCCTAACCTCAAGACTCTAACACCAACTATGGTGACCCTATCTGTAGAGTCTTCATGTGACCTGATTACCTTGGGACAGACAGTTCCAGGTTATGCCTGTTCTGTATGATTGTCATCACCCTCCTTCACTCTTAACAGTGTCCTGCCTGGAACAGGTTACATGTTCACTGTACACATCCATGACCAGGGTTTAGATTTCTTCTAGTGCTCACTCCTCCCCACCCCTGCCTCGTTCCTCTCCCTTCTAGCAGAGCCAGCTGTTACATCAGAGCTGGGGGATGTTTCTCATTGGCTTGTTTTCTCCTAAGATATAAACATATATGGTGTTTAATCACTATTGGCTCAACTGCATTATCTTTGTTGCACTAGCTGGGTAAGACCCCTGTTTGGCCCCTTACTTCCTCTTGACTTTGGGCAGAGCTCCTAACCACTGTAAGCTTATGTATCCCATAAAATAATTAATATATTATTTATTATTGTTTGTATGTAATATAATATTAGTGATAAAAAATATATTAGGGTTTTTGTAAGAATCAAATGAGAAAGTTTACTTAAAAGATAGTTGATTCCCAATAGCCAAAAATTACCTGAGGCTAAGAGAATTTGGTTTATCAACTTGTAATAGTGAGGGAGTCTGTACACTCCAAGGAGCCTGGGGTATGCAGGCAAAGGATGTTAGGAGGGATTGTTATAGTTTTGAACCAGAGCTAGGTGATTTGGAGCAGGTGAAAGGAACTGAAGGTCTGTTCAAAGATTGGGTGCTGTCCGAAAGCAGGGGCATCCCTGGATGGGACATCTTCTGTTTTTGTTTAGGTGATGGGAGGAACAGATGAGGAGATGTCATCGGAGAAGAAACAGGAGTCATTCACAGGGGAGGATGATACTTGGTCATTTTTGTGGTTGTACAGGATTCCTTTCTTAAACTTCTGTTCAGGCCAGTTTGTAGATTGGCTTTCATCTTGTTCTGTCACCGTTGTGGAGGGTCCTCACCTGATATTAACATCCTGTGAAGTTGTTTGTGTTCACCAAGGGGGACGCCCCAGCTCGCTGGTAGCACCTAGGCAGTCACCAGCTGTCCAAGAGGCTTCTTCTCCATCCCCCACCCCCTCAGGTCTTAGCATCATCAGGGAATAAAACAAAGACTGTCAAAACTTTGAAAAATATAAAGGCTTTGTTCATTACCTTGCAGGCAAGGAAAAAAAAAAAAAAACTACACATTTTTTTCCCCCTGAATAGTGTGCTAAGAGAAAACTAAGGTTTTCAGTACTAGAAAAGCTCAAGGTAGTTATGCCATTAATAATTGAAAGCTAGCCACCAAGATAAGTCAGAACAAATCTGTAGGTCTATGAATGATAGATTTAAAACATAATGTTATTTATTGGTCAAGAAAGTCTTCAGCTAGGTCCAGTAAGGGCTTCAAGTTCATGGCTCTTTAAAACCTGGATGTCTCTAACATCAGCTGTAGGGGCTGCCATCTGTAGAGTGACCATATGACCCAGTGTACCTGGGACAGTCCAGGGTTATGCCTGTTTTAATTATTATAGACATTCAGTATTGGTATCTTCTAGGAAGTTTTGGGATAAATGGGATTTTTTAACTGCATAGTGCCTAACATGTAATAAATATCTTATATATATTCTGAAATTGTTTACTTTTAGAATTGTCAGTGCTAATTCTGGTTTATGATGCACTTTGGGACATGAAACTTCTTACATCAGACATTTGTAGATAATTAAGAAAATACATTGCACAAACAGACATTGCAAATGCATACATACACATATTACAAGCTAAAGGGCATAGATAGTCGGTCACTGAAAAAAAAAAAAAATGAGGGGCTCCTGGGTGGCTCAGTTGTTAAGTGTCTGCCTTCAGCTCAGGTCATGATCCCAGGGTCCTGGGATCGAGCCCTGCATCGGGCTCCCTCCTCGGCGGGGAGTCTCTTTCTCCCTCTACCCCTCCCTGCTTGTGTTCCTGTTCTCGCTCTCTCTCTCTCTGTCAAATAAATAAATAAAATCTTTTTTAAAAAAATGAAAATATTTCTGAACCATATGCCTTGGGAATAGGCTTTAAATGGGAAAAATAATTCACGTGACACATATATGTTGTTCTAGGATTTCTCATTGGACATTAGCTCAAAGATGGCTTTGGGCATGTTGTTATAAAGCTTAATGGTTTTTATAGGATTCCCATGGTCTTGCTTGGTTTTTCAATGCAATTCCCCAGTCATCATTCTGCCTCTGGAGACCGCTCACTGTGTTTGAATATGGTCTTTCCCATGATGACTGCATTACCCTAAGAGGAGAATTCTGTTGCTAAGGAAGCTGGGGTGCAGCATGCTTAAGCATTAGCTTAAACAGGAAACCTGTAAGGGCCACCTGGTCAGATGGTATCATGCTCTTGGCTGCTTTCAATCTGGTGGTTCTCTTTATTCTTCTTGTTAAGTTTTCACACCTTTTATAATTTCTTCTGAATTTGCTACCTGAACTCCTTTTATTTCTATTAGCTAAACTTGACATTTCTCCCACCTTCTAAATACCATCTTCCTCTGAAATCACACTATGGTCTGTACTTCCCCTCGACAGCTATTTCCAAAAATCAGTGCCCACATACCTCATAGAGCTTTCACTCTGTAAGGGTATGTAGTCACGATATGCTCAGTCTCCGGGGAGGATTCACAGAATGCATCCAGGTACGCAGAACAACGCCCACACCTTGGAGGTGTGTTATTAATAGAACTCTATATTAGGCATGTTGAGTTACATGATGCTTTTTAAGTCTGAGTTTTTGGAGGGATAACTGGCTTAGAAAGATATTCATTCTCTGCCCGTTGGTCTCCTGTCAGCCTCTCCCCACTTCCCTCTCGTCCCAGTGCTGAATGTCAGAGAGGAGTGGACACCAAAGCATTCTCAGAAGCAATGAGGCAAGGCCAGGTGTTCCTGTCACGTGTTAAATTTCATTCCACTTCTTACAGTTACTTAAGTCCCTCTCTCCCTTTCTACCTAAATTTGAATTGTCTCAAAGGGAGGTAGGATCCAAGTGATTCATCGTCAAACAAAATTCTGAGAACTCCAGAGATCCAGAACGTGCTGCCAGCTTACCCTTGCAGTCACCTTGTCAGGATGGGGGCTCCTCAGCTTTCATGGCCCACTGGTCCCCTCACGAGAGTCGTTCTCCATGGATCTTGAGCCTGGGGAGAAATTCAGAGATGGGCAGAGAATGAGACCAGCAGCTACACAACCTGTCAGCCATGAAATGCTCAAACAGAAGACCAGGCCAAGGGACTCGCAACCCTCCATGTTGGCAGATTTTTCCTCATGTGTTTTGGAAGAGTTGGCTGGTTTCTTGGCTTCTCGCTGCCCTGTGCTTTTCACATATGTGTCTGTCTACAGTCAGACAAATAAGAACCGCACACACATGGTGCACATGCATATGTGTATCTCGTGAGGGGCATGTGTGGAAGTTGCTTACATTTCAGACAGCTCTTCTAGTGCCATGACTCATGCAAGGCCATGAGCACCCGTTTTTTACAGACTGCTGCAGCCCACAGGAAAGCTGCTGTGTTTGGTCTCCAAGGAGACTCCCAGGCCAGTTACCTTGGCAATGCATCCTCTCTCTCATCAGGTCTGACGACTTGGGGTTGCAGTATTGCTGAGGCGTACTCTGCAGATATTCAGAGGAACTTTGACTGCTCGTAGCTTTTCTGTGGGTTTAGTTCCAGTTTCAGAAACTGAAAATCTTTATCGTCTATAGTTTTTTAGTTTTGTGATGCAAGTCTGACTGTTTGAAAGACACACTTTTTTTCTGAGAGAAAAACACACATAAACTTTTATTTATATTTAATTTTATCTCATACATGTTAATTTCTTTGTGGATGTGGATGTATAATGTGAAATATTAGTGAACTAGAATAAATGAAGTTTATTAATACATAAATATGGGAGGTTTTTTTATTAACATAAATGTATTATTTGTTTCAGGGGTACAGGTCTGTGATTCATCAGTCTTACACAATTCACAGCACTCACCATAGCACATACCTTCCCCTATGTCCATCACCCAGCCACCTGATCCCTCCCACCCCTCTCCCCTCCAGCAACCCTCAGTTTGTTTCCTGAGATTAAGAGTCCCTTATGGTTTGTCTCCATCTCTGGTTTCATCTTGTTGCATCTTTCCCTCCCTTCCCCTATGATCCTCTGTCTTGTTTCTCAAATTCCTCATATGATCTCACTTATATGAGGAAGATAGACATTTTTGAATTGGGGCATTTAATAATTATTTTTCTTAATGAGTCTGGTGATTGGTCAGAAAGATTAGCCTGAGAGTATAGCAGAGATGGTTCTTTCAGAACTTTTTCAAAATGTGGCTTATTGGTTTATGACTCTTCTGTTTTGCCTTCTCCAATCCGTTCATTTCTACAGCATCCAGAATGATTGTTCTAAAATGTAAATTTGGTCTTGTCACTCTCCTACCTGCAGAATAAAGTCCAGACAAGCCCTTCCTGATCTGGCCCCTGCCACCTCCCCAGTCCCACCTCTTGCCGATGGTATCCTCACGCTCTGTTCCAATCACAGACCACTACCATCCTCTCCCCAACACCGCCATGCAAGACTCCTACTTGAACTTTAGGTTTCCATGAAGATGCCTTTTCCTTTAGAAATTCTTTCTGGATCTTCCTAAGGATTAGATGCCACTCCCTTATACTCTCATAGAACCTTGCATTAAATTATTCATTTGTAGCCGTTCTTACACGATGCTTTACCTACTTGCTTCCTTGTTTCTCTAGTCTCTTAAGGATGAAGAATATGCTGTTTCTGGTCAGGAATGATGTCTTGCGCAAAAGCATAGGGAAGCTTGTGGGTGTAGGAGTATAGAAACATAAAGTCCTTACCTGGCCCCAAAATGGCTAAGTATGTCTTACCTTTCTTATTCTTCCTCCAACCACCACCTTCCTCTTGGTAATAATTTTTGTGGAAACTCAGCCTTTACCCACCTCTTTTTCCCCCATTAGCAGGTGTGGTAGAGTACATCCAAATATAAGCAGAATTCCCCTTTTCTTTTTTTTATAGATTTTATTTTATTTATTTGCCAGAGAGAGCGCACAGCAGGGGGAGTGGCATGCAGAGGGAGAAGCAGGCTCCCCACTGAGCAGGGAGCCCCACCCAGGCTGGATCCCAGGGCCCCAGGATCATGACCTGAGCTGAAGGCAGACGCTTAACCAACGGAGCCACCCAGACGCCCCGCGGAATTCCCTTTTTCAGAATAATGGCATTATTTTACTCATTAGACAGTTCTCTTTGGACAAGGGAGATCATCGCAGAGTATGAGCATACTTTTTCTGTGAAGGGCCACATACTGCCTCTGTTCTTGTTCTACAACCCCTTAAAAAGGTAAAAATCATTTTTAGTTCATGGGACCATGGGCAGGATTTTGCCCTTGGGCTGTAGCTTGCCAACCAGTTTTAGAGCTTGAGGTCAATTTTACAGAGCCCTATTGCCAAGGAATCTAACACAGCACTTAAACGAGGGACCTGCAGCCCCCCTTTCTTGTGATCCTTCATCTTGCATCCGTGCAACCTTTCTCAGTTAGGCAGTGGTATGTGTATAACCTTCTGGGCTTTGTGATGGTCTGGTGTTAACTTTCCTCTTCTTCCATCCTGTCTCCTTAAGTTTTTAGTCTCTCCGTCACTGGTCTTGCCTGTCCCATTCACCCTCTTCTCCTGGGAGTTATTTGAGCTGTTAAGGGCATTAAACTTCCTTTTGGCATTTATTTAAGTTAGGAGAAAAGAGACACAATCAAAAATGATTTTTTCAAAGCAAGTTCCTCCTTTTTTGGAACATACAGGACTCCTGAATGAATTCTCTTAGAAGTATTTATTATATATTTGTCATAAATGTGCACTCGAACATTAAATTCTTCCTTATTCCTGTTGGTCACTTACCACCCACCTGGAGTTTAATACTTTCTGGTGGGTTCGGCAGAAAACAGCCTGGATATAAGAACATGCATTCCATGAAATTGTATGGTTTTTTTTTAGTCTGGCTCTATGGATTAATCTCATAATAATAACTACAAGGAAAATAATTTGTCCATTGAAAAACCATGTTGCCTTCAAAAAAGAAATTCAAACACAAGCTAGTGAAGTGTTGACCATTTAAAAGATAATATGATCAGTGGTCTTTTGAAAAGTTTAGACAATTGAACACATTAAGAGTTTGAACGTTTCTGGAATAAACTGTGGAATTTAATTGATAATGATACGTCAGTACTGGTCCTTTAACTGTAGCAAATGTGCTATCCTAATGTAAGCTGTTAATAACAGGATAAACCACATGCCGGGCCGGGTAGAACACAGTAACTCCATCCCGTGCTCAGTTTTTCTATACATCTGAAACTGTTCTAAAAAAAAAAAAAGTCTGTTAATTAAAAAAAAAAAAAAAAAAGTCCCTGAAACTGTATTAGTTTGCTTGGGCTGCCATAACCAAGTACCATAGACTGGGTGGCTTACAGAACAGACATGTATTGCCTCCCAGTTCTGGATGCTGGAAGTCCAAGATCAGGATGTGAGCAGAGCTGGTTCCTTCCCAGGGCTTCAGGGAAGGATCCGTTCCACACCGCTCTCCTTGGTTTGCAGATGGCCGTCTTCTCCTTAGGTCTTTTCCATTGTCCTCCATCTGTATGTGTCTCTGTTGCCAGTGTTCCCCATTTTATGTGGACACTGGTCATATTGGGTTAGGACCCCTCCCAAATGACCTCACTTTAACTTGATTACCTGTGTCAGAGACCCGAGCTCCCATCAGGGCACATTCTGAGGTACCAGGGGTTCAGTCTTCAGAAATTTTCGGGGTGTAATTCAATCCACCATGCTAACCACCTCCCTCAAATGAACTCTTCTCTCACGCCTGGCCTTTTTCCAATGTGTTTCCCATGCATCCCTTCTTTTAATTTTGCACGTGTCTGTGTGTTGGTTTTGTTCCGCAGTGACCAGCAGCAGCTGCAGCTCCTGTACTTGGAATGCGTCCTGTCCATGCTCAACAGCTCCTCCTCCTCCATGCACCTGCACAGAGGCTTCACAGACCTGATCTGGTGAGCGCCCCCCCACAGCGACCCGATGCTTCCCCCCCTGCCCATGGCATCTATGCCCGACCGGTCACCTCATCTGTGTGCGAATGCTTTAGCGAGAAAGTCGGGAAATTGCTTCGCTCACATACACTGGCTCAAAATACAGAGAGAAGCTTGTGACGATCTTAACAAAATAGGACTCCAAGGGCCTCTGGTGTTTGTTGACACCATAGGCCCATGGGACTCGGGAACGAGGAGAGTATTTTCCAGGTTTCTAGTTTATCCTAAAAGCATACAAAGGCACAGAAAGTTGCACAGGGGGGCAAGAGCTGTTGAATGTTATTCTTAGCCCTTCCCTGGTACATTCTCCATCTCAACCTGAAGACTCGTCTCTTAATTATAGCCAGGGAGTCCCACAGGTGACAGGGCCCGCAAGCAGCCAGCTAGCTGCTCTGGGTTCCTGGGCTTTTCCACAGGGACGAAGTCGAATGGTATGTGGCAGTATATATGTCAGAATTTTAAATGAACTTCTCACATTAGAAGTAGAAAGAATTTTGTTATTTATCATAAAATGAAACTTTCTAACTAAGCCATTTAGCATTTTGAGTCAGTTCCTTTACATAAGATGGTTTCTTAATACTTCTCTTAGTATTTTTATTTAGCTAATTCTGCCTTGAGCTATGAGAAAAAGCATTCTGTTCATATACCTAGAAGTAATGGAGAGACATGGAAAATGGGGGCAGGATGTCGCCAAAAAGAGGAGCAGGAAAGAACCCAACTCTTATTAGTCATTGCTGTGGCATCTGGTATTTACCCGCAGGATTGTATTCACATTTTATCCTTTTGCCTTGTTAGCCAAACATAGTTTTCCTCCTGTGTCTTCCCAGGAAAAACCTGTGCCCTGCCCTCATCGTGATCCTGGGGAATCCAATTCATGATAAAAGCATCACCTCTGCTCACAGTAGCAGCGCTGCTTCTGGCATCGAGTCAGACTCTGCATCTCCAGGAGTTTCTGACCACGGCCGGGGGTCGGGCTGCTCATCCACCGCGCCAGCCCTGAGCGGGCCGGTGGCTCGGACCATTTATTACATCGCGGCTGAGCTGGTCCGGCTGGTAGGGTCGGTGGACTCCATGAAGCCCGTGCTCCAGTCCCTCTATCACCGTGTGCTGCTTTATCCCCCACCCCAGCACCGGGTGGAAGCCATCAAAATAATGAAAGAGGTAGGGAGGCATGAAGAATGCCGCGTGCTTGCCAGGAGGTGGGGGGCAGTATCTGAACCCAGTGTCTTGCCTACAGGAAGCACTCGGAAAATGTTTGCCAACCGCCTGCTAACACTTACTTGTTACCACTTGGTATCCAGTAATCGGCAGTATCTTCAGGGCATGTGTTGGGAGCCTGGGTGAGGACGGGTTGATCGGTGCTCACTGATGCAAAGTCATTGATAATATAAGCGGCAGGCATCTGACTGAGCCCCAGGCTGACTTCATTCTGCTCCCTTAGGTACTGTTTGTGCAGATATATGTGTTTATTCCCCTTTGCCAAAATTGGATTTCAAAATAATTTTGTACTCAGGTTGTACGGTATCCCCCCCACCAAAAAAAAAAAATCATTACTAATCTCTGACTAGTAAAGGGAATCCCTTTGCCCCATTCCTACTTAGGCCTCATATCCCAAACATCATGACTCCTGCGAGAAGGTAAAGTTGTCCAGCTTATAACAGGCATTCCAGTGTGCTCTTTCATGGTTTTGAGGAGGTACTCCAAATAAGAATTTCTCTGCTTTCTTTCAAATAACCAGAAAGAAAAGTGATCAACATTTTTGTATTTGTGAACTTGTTCATTGCCTTTGTTTTTGGTGCCTATGCCCAAACAACAACAAACCCAGTGTAACAAAATTCCTTTGTTGCTATTCATCAGTTTCTTAAACGCTTAATTTGAAATGCCTCTTGATGTTGTTCTAAAAAGATTTGACTCTAATGAACAATGGAAAATTCTGACTCAACATTTCTAGAAATGAAGGAATGATCCAGATTCAATTGCTGGTTAAGAAAATCTATGAGCACACAATAATAATCTTTTTTTTTCTTACCTTCTATATGCCCAGCACTTCACATATATTATCTTTAATATTCTTAATATCTCTTTGATGTTGTATATCAACTTTTACTAGTGAAGAATGTTATTTCTTTTCTCCATCACAGATTCAGGCAATGAGAACACAGGGTCAGCTTTAATAACTGGTCACTCCTAGGCTGGTGAACCCAATATAGCTTTGGAGGCAAGTGAGACTAGACTAGTTTGTCACCACTCAGACAGCAGTGGCCCTCCCTTGGGGACCTGGCCCTACCCTTGTTAAGTGTATAACCAGGGACTCAGGATGGGCTTTCTCTGAACAGGCAGATCTTCAAGGGGAAGAAAGAGGAAGAGACTGGCTACACATGCCCAGCTCCTTCTGAATCCACCGGTCAGATCAGACTCCCCCTCCATCAGAAGGAAAGCAGAGAAAGAGAGGAGAGAGATCCAGAATTTTATTCCACTGGATGTTCCTCCCCATAGAGATATGATGCCAGGAAAAAGGAATTTTCCCTCCCACAAAGAAACTAAGGTTCCAAAGGGTCAAATGATTTGCCTAAGGTCACAGAGAAAGAGAAAGGGTATACAGCCTGGTCCATCTGACCCAAAACCCATCACCTTTCCTACAACACACTTGTTACCATACTTGACTTTGATATTGCAATGCAGATGAATCTAGGAACCCCTTTCCATGCTGGCTCATCTGCCCCTTCATGAGCCTGAGTTGAAGAGTCAGGGTTTGGATCCTCTCTCTGCCAGTCCCCAACGAGGCTGTAGTAGCTAACTCATTTAACTCTGAACTTACAATTTTTTTTTATCTCTAAATGGTAGTAATATTCCAAAGGTTCAAAATGCAATAAGGTTTGTATAAATACCCTCTAAGTATAAAGGGCTAGACAAATACTTGGCATGCTTATTGCTATCCTAAGGAAAAGAAGAACTATGTGCAGGCTGAAAAGAGCTGGTCCTCATGACCTCCTGCCTCGAGTAGTACACCAGTTCTCGCTCAGCAGCTTGTCTGCCACCTGCCTGTTTTCCTTTCGTCTTTCTGAATTTAGGCTCATAGATCACCACTGTTAACAGTTTTTTTCAGGCTCTAATGGCTCCTGTTGCATCTCTCATCAAGTCTGAATTACTCTGCCCAGTTTCTAGATCCTTCTGTCATCATTCTTATTTCCCATCATTTCCTAGGATCCCTCATTCCATCTGACTGGCCCTGCTCGGCTCGGCTCCCCCTTGCCTGCCTCTATCCACAGGCCATTCCCCTTAGCAGAGTCGAGCAGTGATTCCAATATGCCAGGCGCAGCTGGCTCTTCATGTTAGTTTATTTACCAGCTCTCTTAGGAAGAGAATACCATGCCCAGTTTCCAGATGGGGAAGCTGAGGCCCCACGGGAAGTTACTTGCCCAAAGTCCTTGTGGGTAGCAGGGCTACCGCGTGAGCCCAGACGTTGTAAGGACAGCTGCCTCTGCTGTCAAAAGCCTCCTCCTTTACAGCTTCCTTAAAAATATGAAATTCTCTAAATTCCATCATTTAGCAATTAATTATATGTCCCATCCCACTGACGGTTTCACAGACCGACTTGGTACAGACTTCCTGTCCCCTCAAGTCTGTGTCTTTATTCATTGCTCTTGTGTGGCCCCCCCATCCCCAGTATCTAACCCTGCAGTGCTTGCATCAGAATAAGTGCTCAGTGAATTCTGACTGAATGACAGGTGGACCTGAAGACAGAATATCTGCGAAGAGGGTGTTTTGTGAGCAGTGGCCACCTTTCTTTCCCACCCACTCAGACTTGACCGGCCCTGGGCTTGTGGCCGCCCATGGCAGATCCACTTGCCACCGAATGCTAAGTAAATACATCGCATACGGGGCACATAGGCATCTACATGTATTTTCAATAAGAATTTCATTTACCACCACGCAGGAAATTTGGTATGTTTTCCCCCTTCTCATAGATTGGTCCAGCTTCCCTGGATGATTTCACAGGGCAAGGCTGGAGTTAGACATCAGCACGTGAGTAGCAGGTCCAGGCAGTGCTGCCCCGTGGAGTGCAGCCGACGGATGGGGGCCAGGTTACTCCAGTCACTATGACAACCGATCATTTGGGAAGGTTGGTAACCTGGAGACCAACATGCGCCATCTATGCACAGAAGGAAAACCACTGGGCACCCAGGATGTTTGTTTAGCCTTTTGGAGTTTGTGTCCCTGTTCTCTTTGTGATTTGTCACTGCCCCATAGGCACTGTGTGCCTGTTCAGCAAAGACAGGACATTTTGTTTTTCAAACGACAATTCTCTTTTCTGTTTCCGCTTTCCCAGAAAATGAACAGTAATCAAAAGTTCACCTTGCTTCCTTTACTCTCTCCCATGGTTTGGCTTCAGAAGGAGTTCCCTAATATTTTTTTTTAAAGATTTTATTTATTTATATGACAGGGAGAGAGAGAGAGCATGCACAAGAGCAGGGGGAGGGAGAAGCAGACTCCCCGCTGAGCAGGGACTGGGATCATGACCTGGGCTGAAGGCAGACGCTTAACTGGCTGAGCCACCCAGGCACCCAGGAGTTCCCTAATCTTTATCAGACTATGACACCCCAGCCCCTGACAGCACATCCCTCAGTCCCACTGAAAGAAGCTGAGATTCAGCATGCCTTGCCTTTCTTCAAGTAGTTGTTAAGGGTTCTTCAGAAGCCTTAACTTCCAGATTTGGAAACAACTGAGAAATAAACCCAAGATCAATGTGGGAATTCAGATATGTCATCTAATTTATTACTGGTAAAGTTAGATTGGAGATTGTAATGAGATCCCAAGAGAAAGTGAGATTCCCCACAGCCGACCCTCTGAAATGCACCTACCCTTCTAGCAAGAGATGGGGCAGCTGGAGGCACTTAGGCTCAGCCACTTCACCTGGATTCAGGGCAGGCTGGTGGCAAGAGAGAGGGTGGGGAGAGGAGTGAGATGAGGGCGGGAGAGAGAGGAAAAGAGGGGGAGGGGAAGGGGAAGGCAGAGAGAGGAGAGAGGGAGACTTGACTCTTTCAATGTCAAAAAATACAATGTGGAGAGAAAAGTAGAAGCTTCATTGCTGTACCTCCAAGAGAGAAGTTCCCAATTTCTGGGGTATGAAAGAAATGTGGAAGGAGGGAGGGAAAGAAGAGTGCCCCTTAAGATATAACTTTTTCTAGTTAATATACCTTTTCCTGTGAGTATAAGTTACTTTGAAAATAATGGACATAGTGATAGGAAGTCTGTTCCAATACACTTAACGCAGTCTTTTCCTGAATTCATTAGCCTGAAATTGAAATTTTCTTTAAAGATTTCTACCACGTGGAAATAAAAATTAATTAGGACTGAGCAGTTATGAAAATTCTATACCTGAAAACTTGTAGGATGTAGCCAAAGCAGTACATAGAAGGGTATTTATAGCTTAAAATGATTATATTTTAAAAATTGGAAGCCTAAAATTAATATTCTAATTTTCCGAGTTAGGTAGCTAGGAAAAGAAGAGCAAATTAAATTCAAAGATAGTAAAAAAGAGGAAAAATAAGGATGAAAGCAGAAAGTAATGTGATAAAAAGCAAATATAGTAAATCAATAAAGTAAAAAGTACCAGGGCTCTGAAAAGACTAAGAAAGTTGAAAAACTCTTGGTAAAAACAATAAAAAAAATTCCAGAATAGGTAAAAACAAGTAAGTAGAAATAAGAATGAAAACACGCATGTAACTATAGATATTAGAAACATTAAAGAAATTAAAGAAGGTATTAAGGCTGCTGAGGCCATTAAATTTGAAAACTTAGATAAAATAGATAAATCCCTGGGAAATAATACAGCCTTTAACAAGCTGGCTCAGGAAGAAATGGAGAACCTACATAGTTCTAGAATCTTTTTTTTTTTTTTAAGATTTTATTTATTTATTCATGAGAGACAGAGAGAGAGAGGCAGAGGGAGAAGCAGGCTCCCAAGGAGCAGGGATCCCGATGTGGGACTCGATCCCAGGACCCTGGGATCATGACCTGAGCCGAAGGCAGACGCCTAACCATCTGAGCCACCCAGGCACCCCTTTAGTTCTAGAATCTTTAAAGAAATTGAATCAATAGTTAAAAATCTTTCCATTAAAAAAAAAAAAACAGGGCGCCTGGGTGGCTCAGTTGGTTAAGCGACTGCCTTCGGCTCAGGTCATGATCCTGGAGTCCCGGGATCGAGTCCCACATCGGGCTCCCTGCTCGGCGGGGAGTCTGCTTCTCCCTCTGACCCTCCCCCCTCTCATGCTCTCTCTCTCTCTCTATCTCATTCTCTCTCAAATAAATGAATAAAATCTTTAAAAAAAACAAAAACAAAAAACAACCCCACTGGCCCCATACAACATTAAAAAGAAGTTATACCAACATTTAATGAATGGATAATTCTAATAATATATGAACTTTTCCAGAGTATAGAAAGAGGCAATACTTCTCAACAGATGTTTTTTCAATTTTTAAAAATTATTTTAACTTTTGACCCCCTTCATTTTTTTTTTACCATCCTCCCATCCCTCACCTCTGGCAACCACCAATCCATTTTCTATAACTATGAGCTTGTTTTTTTGTTTGTTTCTTGTCTGTTTTTTTAAGATTCTACCTATAGGAGAGATCATATAGTATTTGTCTTTCTCTGTCTGACTTATTTCACTTAGCATAATACCCTCTAGATTCATCCATGTTGTCACAAATGGCAAGATTTCATTCTTTTTTATAGATGAGTAATATTCCCTTCTGTGTGTGTGTGTGTGTGCACATACCACATCTTCTTTATCTATTTATCCATTTATCCATTGAGAAGCACTTAGGTTGTTTCCATATTTTAGGTATTGTAAATAATGCTGCAATGAACATGGGGGTGCATGTATCTTTTTGACTTAGTGTTTTTTCTCTTCAGATAAATATCCAGAAGTGGAATTGATGGATCATATGGCAATCTATTTTTAATTTTTTGAGGAACCTCCATACTGTTTTCCATAGTGGCTGTGCCAATTTCCCATCAACTGTGCGAGATGGTCCTTTTTACTCCACACATCCTTGCCAACACTTGTTTTTTCTAGTCTTTTGATAATGGCTCTTCTAACAGGTGTGAGGTATATCTCATGTGGTTTTGATTTGCATTTCCTGGATGATTATTAATGAACATCTTTTCATGTGTCTGTTGGCCATCTATAAGTCTTCTTTGGAAAAATGTCTATTCAGGTCCTCTGCCCATTTTTAAAATCGGATTATTTGGTTTTGGGCGTTTTTATGGAGTTGTATGAGTTCTTTATGTATTTTGGATATTAATCCCTTACCAGTTACATGACACGCAAATACTTTCAGTAGGTGACCTTTTCATTTTGTCATCGGTTCCTTTGCTGTGCAGAATCTTTTTAGTTTGATGTAGTCCCACATGATTATTTTTGCTTTTGGTGTCAGATTAAAAGAATCCTTCCAAGACTCATTGTCAAGGAGCCTACTGCCTGTGTTTTCTTCTAGGAGTTTTATGGTCTCAGGTCTTACATTCAAGTCTTCAATCCATCTTGAGTTCATTTTTGTGTATGGTATAGGGGTCTGTTTCCATTCTTTTGCTTGTGGCTGTCCAGTTTTTCAAGCACCATTTGTTGAAGAGACTTTCCTTTCCCTAATGTATATTCTTGCCTCCGTTGTTGTAAATTAATTGACGTATACGTATAGGCTTATTTCTAGGATCTCTATTCTGTACTTTTTGATCTGTATGTCTGTATTTAGGTTAGTACCATGCTGTTTTAATTACTGTAGCTTTGTAATGTAATTTTAAATCAGGGAGTGTGATGCCTCCTGCTTTGTTCTTCTTTCTCAAGATTGAGTTGGCTACTACAGGTCTTTTGAGGTTTCATACAAATTTCAGGTTTGTTTGTGCTATTTCTGTGAAAAATACATTGAAAATTTGATAGAGACTGTGTTAAATCTGTAGATTGCTTTGGGTAGTATGGGCATTTTAACAATATTAATTCTCCCAGTCCATGATCCCAGAGTATCTTTCCACTTATTTGTGTCATCTTCAATTTCTTTTATTAATGTCTTGTAATTTTCAGTATTCCAGTCTTTCACCTCCTTGATTAAATTTATTCTTAGGCATTTTATTATTCTTTTTAAATGGTAGTTCATGTCTTTTATTAACCCATATATAATTACTTATCTTCTGGTTTGTTGAAGCAATAGGTCAGACATTTGCCACAGTAATGTCTGTCGAAGTGGCTAGCCATGAAAACTCCAGCACCACATTCATCTAAAGGACACTCCTGAAGAAGGAGACTGATTTTGCCATTCTAATCCACCTTATAGTATTTCAGAACGGCCAGTTTAACTGGCCTTTTCTCTTATGCCTATTCTTCTTGGGAGTAGTGTAAGACTTATTCTTCCTTCCTTCTTCTTAGCACCACCACCAAGTCTCAACACAAGATGAAGAGTGGACTCCTTTTGAATGTTGTAGATGGACAAAGTACGTTCATCTCCCAGTTGCTTGCCAGCAAAGATCAGTCTCTGCTGATCACGAGGAATTTCTTCCTTATCCTGAATCTTGACCTTTACATTTTCTGTTGTAGCCGAGGGTTCAACCTCAAGAGTGATAGTCTTCCTGGTAAGGGTTTTCACGAAAATCTGCATTTTGATGGTGGTTCCATGACAGATGGCGGACTGGAAAGGCATTTTATTATTTTTGATGCTTTGTAAATAGGATTATTTTCTTGATTTCTTTTTCTGATAGTTTATTTGTGTATAGAAATGCAACAGATTTTTGTATGTTGATTTTGTATCCTGCAACTTCACTGAATTCAGTTGTTCATTCTAACAGTTTTTTTATAAAGTCTGTAGGGTTTTCTATATATAATATCATGCCATCTGAGAATAGTGACAGTTTTACATCTTCCTTTCCAACTTGGATACCTTTTCTTTCTTTTCTTGCCTGATTGCTGTAACTAGGACTGACAATACTATATTGAATAAAAGCGGCAAGATTGACATCCTTGTCTTGTTCCTGATCTTAAAGGAAAAGCTTTTAGCTTTTTCCTGTTGAATATGATGCTAGCTGTGGGTTTGTAATATGTGGCCTTTATTATGTTGAGGTATGTTCCCTCTATGCCCACCTTTTTGAGAATTTTTATCATAAGTGATTGTGGAATTTCGTCAAAATACTTTTTCTGCGAGGTGCCTGGGTGGCTCAGTCATTAAGCGTCTGCCCTCAGCTCAGGTCATGATCCCAGGGTCCTGGGATCGAGCCCCACATCGGGCTCCTGGCTTGGCAGGAAGCCTGCTTCTCCCTCTCCCTCTGCCCCTGCTTGTGCTCCCTCTCTCACATGTGTGTCTCTCTCTCTGTCAAATAAATAAATAAAATCTTTAAAAAATATATTTTTCTGCATCTATTGAAATGATCTTTCCATTTTTTTCCTTCATTTTGTTATGTTGTCGTTAAATTTAGTTTGATCACATTTTGTTGAAGATTTTTGCATCTATGTTCATCAGGGATATTGGCTTATAATTTTCTTTTCTTGTGGTATCCTTGTCAGGTTTTGGTATCAGGGTAATGCTAGCCTTATGAGTTTGGAGAGTTCCCTCCTCTTCTGTTTTTTGGAAGAGTTTGAGAAGGATTGATATTAATTCTTCTTTGAATGTTTGATAGAATTCACTGGTGAAGCCATCTGGTCCTGGACTTTTGTTGTTGGTAGGTTTTTGATTACTGATTCAATCTCTTTACTAGTTATTGGTCAGTTTGGATATTCTTTTTCTTCATGATTCAGTCTTTGTAGGTCGAATATATCTAGAAATGTATTCATTTCTTCTAGGTTGTCCAATTTGTTGCCATATAATTGTTTATAGGATTCTCTTATGATCTTTTGTATTTCTGTGGTATCAGTTGTAACATCTCCTTCATTTCTGATTTTATTTATTTAAATCTTCTGGGTTTTTCTCTTGGTGAGTCTAGCCAAAGGTGTGTCAATTTTATCTTTCCCAAGAACCAACTCTTAGTTTCATTGATCTTTTCTATTATTTTTTAGTCTGTTTCATTTATTTCTGCTGTAATCTTTCTTACTTCTGCTAACTTTGGGCTTCACTTGTTCTTCTTTTTCTAGTTCCTTAAAGTATAATGTTAGATTATTTATTTGAGACTTTTCTTATTTTTTGAGGTAGGCATTTGCTGCTTTGAACTTTTCTCTTAAAACTGCTTTTGCTGCATCCCATAAATTTTGGGATGTTATACTTCCTTTTTTTTTGGTCTTAGGGTATTTTTTCATTTCTCTTTTGATTTCTTTTTTGACCCATTAGTTGTTTGGTAACATGTTGTTTAATCTCCACATATTTTTGAATTTTCCAGTTTTCTTCATGTAATTAATTTCTAGTTTCATGTCAGTGTGGTTAGAAAAGATGTTTGATATGATTTCAGTTATCTTAAATTTAAGATTTGTTTTGTGCCCTAACATATGATCTATCCTGGAGAATGTTCCATGTACACTTGATCAGTCCAGTTTTTGAAGCTAACCAGTTGTGATAGCAAAATGAGACAGAGTACAGGGAAGTTAAATTATAGGCCATTCTCAGTAAAGAACATAGATGTAAGTATTTTATAGTTCTGTGCTATAAAATTTTTTGAAATAATACCTCAAAGAATTTGCCTTGTCTAAGCCAGTCCTGAATTGGGGAGCTGGGAACCCAACTGGGGAGCTGGGAACCCCTCTATGACAAGAGGAATACTAGATCGGTTTTATTAAGATTTGTAGTTCCAAATAGTTGTGTTTTTTCCTTAGATTGTATCACTCACTTTCTCTAAAGTTCATGTTTATTTGAGCCCACAATTTTAAAACCTTGTGCTTTTTTATGATATTCACTATACTGTTATTTTTTCCCTCTTTTTCTTAAAGCTACTTGGGAGCCCACAGCGTCTCTGTGATTTGGCAGGACCCAGCTCCACTGAACCAGAATCTAGAAAAAGATCAATTTCAAAAAGAAAGTCTCATCTGGATCTTCTCAAACTGTATGCTGCATTCCCCTTTTCCATCTATTATTGCTTGGCAAAGACTGTTTCTCTGAATACATTTGACCTTGTTTTTTTGTTTGTTTGGGGTTTTTTTATTCTTATGTTAATCCCCATACATTACATCATTAGTTCTAGATGAAGTGTTCCATGATTCATTGTTTGTGCATAACACCCAGTGCTCCATGCAGAATGTGCCCTCCTCAATACCCACCACCAGGCTAACCCATCCTCCCACCCCCCTCCCCTCTAGAACCCTCAGTTTGTTTCTCAGAGTCCATCGTCTCTCATGGTTCGTCCACCCCTCCGATTTCCCCCACTTCATTCTTCCCCTCCCACTACCTTCTTCTTCTTTTTTTCTTAACATTTTTATGAATCTGCATTATGTGGAATTTTATTGTTTAATAATGTTCCCACAAGCCATATGAGAAATCTTATTTCAATGTATTATGATCATGTACTCCACATTTTCATATTGGCTTAAAGTGAACCCAGTGTGCAAAATGAAATGTACAATTATTCATTGGAGTTATTTTAGGGAAAAACTTTTTGAATCACAGTACTATGAGGTTCCTTTACATGTAGCCCCCTCCCCTTGAAAACTGAATATTATCTGATTTGTAATAGTGAATAATAATTCACATGCATGTGTTCAGAAACATGATTGTTTTACAGAGGATGTCCTCATTATCATATAGCCATTGTAACTACTTTCTTTTTGAAAAACTGAACCTAATACAAAAGTGAGCTTATTCAATGGCTGTCCTCTGTCCTTGTGGAGATTATAAATGCCCATCTGGAATTTTTGTGCGTGCCCAAATAAACCAGCCAACCGAGAGAGAATGTGATTCAAGGTGGGCCACTTTTCCTGGATGTTTTCCTCTCCCAGCCTGAGCATGTTTGCTTCATTTACCCCTTGGCCCAGACCATTGAATTCCGGGCAGAGCGGAGGATCCGTTTTGAATGCTGGGCTGTTCACCTTGGAGCATTCGCCCATGTTTCTTACGCCGCTGTTTTCCGCTTTGGACCCTTAGCATCATGGACGGCCTGACGGAAGCGTGCGTCAAGGGCGGCATCGAAGCGTGCTACGCCGCCGTGTGCTGCGTGTGCACCTTGCTCGGGGCCTTGGACGAGCTCAGCCAGGGCAAGGGCTTGAGCGGAGGCCAGGTCCAGCTGCTGCTGCAGCGCCTGGAGGAGCTGAAGGACGGCGCCGAGTGGAGCCGGGACTCCATGGAGATCAACGAGGCCGACTTCCGCTGGCAGCGGCGCGTCCTGTCCTCGGAGCACACGTCGTGGGAGTTGGGGAGCGGGAGGAGCCCCGACATCAGCATCAGCGTGACCACCGACACGGGCCAGACCACGCTGGAGGGCGAGATGGGCCAGACGACGCCCGAGGAGCACGCGGACCACCGCAAGAGCAGCCTCAAGTCGCCAGCCGCGCCCGAGAGCAGGGAGACTCTGAGCAAGGTGCCGGAGCCCGAAGCCGTCGACCAGCCAGACGTGGTGCAGAGAAGCCACACGGTCGCTTTCCCCGACATAACTAACTTCCTGTCGGTGGACTGCAGGATGAGGTCGTACGGCTCCAGGTACAGCGAGAGCAATTTCAGCGTGGATGACCAAGACCTTTCGCGGACCGAATTTGATTCCTGCGACCAGTACTCGATGGCGGCCGAGAAGGACTCGGGGAGGTCAGACGTGTCGGACATCGGCTCGGACAACGGCTCGCTGGCGGACGAAGAGCAGACCCCTCGGGACTGCCTGGGCCACCGGTCCCTGCGGACTGCCGCCCTGTCCCTGAAGCTGTTGAAGAACCAGGAGGCGGACCAGCACAGCGCCAGGCTGTTCCTGCAGTCCCTGGAAAGCCTCCTTCCCCGCCTGCTGGCTCTGCCCAGCGTGGAGGAGGTGGACTCGGCCCTCCAGAGCTTCGCCTCCACCTTCTGCTCAGGTGTGTACGCGGCCTCGGCTGCACGGGCAGTGAGGGTGTTCGAGGCATTTTGCCGAAATGGGAAATTACCGTCGTGCCTGTAGTTTGAAGCGCCCCAAACATCTTAGTCGCGCCTGGGGTTCCTTATGTTTGAAGAGAACGAAGGAATGTAAGACTTACTGGTGGTGGCTGGAATTGTAGGCAGTTGGTGGCTGGGATATTCTGAGGTTGACAGACGGATAAGGTGCAGAGTAAAGAGTAAGAGCTTACTGCCTTCTAGAAAGCTGCTGCTGACTGAAACAAAGTGACAGTCTCTGACTCTCAAAACATTGAGTTCTCAGTATGCTTCTACACCTCCGTGTCTAACAATCACAAAGCAGTGCACTTTGGGTATATCAGTATGTAAACTATTTTAAATGAGGTCTTGAATCAGATGCAGGCTGTGTGAATTCCCCTGAACTTCCAGGGGGGGTATTCCAGCGTCTGATCATCCTGGGGACTTTCTGGTGGCCAGTCCCCAGCCAGAGCCCACCCAGAGTCGCCTCCTTAGAACAAAAGGTGTTCCTAGAGCTCTTAGGCATTTACAAGGATTTTAGGAGTCACAACGAGGTCAAAGACAGATACTAGAACAAGAGATCCTTCTAGTGTTCATATCACTTAGGACATTGTAAGGATTTTAGGAGCTCTGTGCCAGGAAAGGGGCAGAGACCAATATAAATATTTTCTATTATCTCACAGTACTACAGAAAGAAAGCAATTAATGGGTACAAAACATTTATGGCAGGAATAACTGAGTGCCTGACTCCTAGGAAGTCAGTCACCTGTGCCTTCCCCTGACATTCAAGGGTCTCTTGACCACAGACTACTGAGGCAGATGGGCCTTGCTGGGCTTGTGCTCACATAAAAAGGACTAACCCTGAGAATGAACACAGACCTGTTAAAAGTCAAGATCACCATTTGCTCTTCCCCCCTCTGAGTCTTGAGCATGAGTTTGTCGTTGCACTTACCACATTTATTATAGTGATTTGTGAATGCCTCCACCTTCCCCCCTCTGTAGTTTCAGCTCTGGTGTGGTCCAACCATGTCTAACACATATTCGATCTTCAAACAAAGAACACATCACACACACATACAAAAAAAAATTGTAGCCCAGTTACTGAAACTTGGTAGAAGCTAACTGCTGTACTGTTAAGAGGCAGCTTAATAAGTATTTTTAAGAAACTGACCAGATTGTCCTTTGTGAAAAGGACACAAAAAAGACACTTAAATTGAGGTATATTTAAGGAAGGACATTTTTTAATATGAGAATGATCCAAAGTTGTAAGCACCAGCACAGATAAAGAACTTTCAGTCCTGGACTAATACTCCTGGATTTCTCAACCTATCTAGAAATTGGAAAGAGATGCATATAATTTCTCAGCTTTCCTAACTGCACTGTGATTCTTTTCAAGACATAAAAATGCCTATTTCTAAGGCTACCCAACATTTTTTTTCTCAATACTTTACCTTTTGGAATTAAATACAAAAATAAAGTTGGGCTATTTGATTTGTGTGAAGGAACACACACACATGCGCAAAATTCATGTTTCATTGAAAGACTAAGATAATGTATAAATACTCTTCTTAAAAATTCTGTTTCTCCTTAATATCTTTTATGCTACCATCATTAAATTTATTTTATTAAACATTGCTAGTATATGCTTTTTGTATGTTTTCTTCCTTTCTCTCTCTCTCTTTCTCACTCACTCACACACACACACACACACACACATATACACACACCCAGTGACGCTTCATCAGTCAACATTTATAGAGAAGCTTCAGTGTGCTCTGAACTAGGGGCCTCAAGATATTCATGCCTTATTCGCAGTAAATGTGTATTGACTGTAGATTCATGAGCTTGCTCTTTGGTCCCTTAACTTGTGAAATAGGTCATGGGCTGAAGAAGTAAGTCATGGGTAAAGCCTGAGTTGAAAGGAATGTTCACTCCCCTTTGGAGGGGGTTTGGTAGAGCCTCTGAGCCTGTGCTTATTCTCGCTGGTCATATTCATGGGGAGAGGAGCTCGGCAGCCTGCTCTGACCAGCTTGCCTGGTGCCAAGGCAGACAGGCTGGCAAACATCAGTGATGCCAAGGAACAGCCGTGTGTCCAACTGCAGCACTACCACAGATTGGCATCATCATCAGGATGAGTCAGTGGTGGCCTTGACTCATCAAGAAATGGGAAAATTATATTTAGGACCTTCTATTTAAAATAAAAATAATCTTGGGGCACCTGGGTGGCTCAGTCGATTAAGTGTCCAACTCTTGATTTCAGCTCAGGTCATGATCTCAGGGTCGTGAGATCGAGCCCCACGTCGGGCTCCACACCCGGCGTGGAGTCTGCTTAAGATTCTTTCTCTCCCTCTCCCTCTGCTCCCCCCAAATACGTACATACATAAAATTATAATAATCCACACAAAACAACTCAGCTGCAGAAATTTCAGCATTTAAATATGTAAGATCTGACATTCAGATTACTTCATATTTATCAACAACATCCCCAAGTAATTCCAGATAAATGAGTTGTTATAGTGGTAAAGACCGACTCTCAAAGGCCCTGCCTCATTTCCTATGAGAATTAGGAAATATAATCCTAGCAAAGTCTTTTGTAAAATTTGAAGCTAAAGTAAATCTTAACAGTTGTGTTTTTGTACCTTTCAAATCAATACTTATTTACAGTACGTGCTGAACAGAGCTTGAGTGAATTTTTTCACTCAGTTTTTTCCAGAATGTGGCCCCATGGATGTTACAAACTGCTCAAATTTCAGAGGTCAGTAAAATGTCCCATCAGACCCAATATGTTATGACATTAATTTTTACGTGTATGAATCAATACATTGAAAAGAGACTCCAAATCTTTTGATTGTTTCCAAATATAATTTTTAGTAAATGTCTGTAACTGAATTAGTCATTTGTCTTTTTAGTTCTAGTGACCTCCACAGTATTTTTACCAATTAGGAGTTGGTCTGTCTTTACAAATTATACACCCATCATGCTGTGGTCCTGCTACCAATAGATATAGGACTGTACCTCAGTCACAGCTGTGGTTTAATGGATCACATTGACCATTGCTGTGGGTCAGCCAAAGCTGCTAGATGCTGGCCTAGGTCCACTTCTACACTGAGCCAGTGCGCTCTCTCCCCCTGCAAGCATCACCTCCAAGATGAAAGACTAGTAAAAGAGAAACATCTGTACCCTGCAGGGGCAAGAGAGAAGGCAGATGGCCTTTGTTCATCCAAGACAACGTTTAAGAGCAAACAATAGGAAATGAGGAGAAGAGTCTCCCTGAGTGATAACCCAGATATTTTACTCACTATTTACTTTGATGTCAAAAGCTTTAAACCTTATTTTGTCAAAAACTATCATTGAGCATTTGCCCCTGACTTATTATCAGGGTCTGCTCTGCTGGCTGAGACCAGATTCGCTCAGCGTTTCTCAGGGACCCCTGTCCTCAGACAACTAACATCCAGTTGAAATGAGCCCCCTTAATTCCACATGATTCAAGGGAGCCTTTCCTTTGAAAACAATGAAAGTTTTTTACAGTGGGGGAGTTTGAAAACATCCGAACAAAATAGGTTTTATAAATAAATTTTTTTAATGATTTATTTGAGAGAGAGAGAAAAAACATGAGTGGGGTGAAGGGCAGAGGGAAAAGTAGACTCCCTGCTGAGCAGGGAGCCTGATACAGGGCTTGATCCCAGGAGTCTGGGATCATGACCTGAGCCAAAGGCAGATGCTTAACCAACTGAGCCACCCCAAAATGGGTTTTATAAAGATGGGAGTGGACATGAACTGTGACAACTGCAGAAATTCCTTCCTCATCCTGCATTGAACAGAGTGGCATCCATGTGAAGTGGCTCCTTGGGGACGAAAAAGCAAGAGCCAGCCTCACACAGCAATGAATAGAGGGGCACAGGCACTTACTTGGCTTTGGGATCACTGTTCCTTAGATTAGTGGTGTTCAGTTACAATCTTGAGATTCACTGTGACCACATATAAGGCTTATTACAAGCATTTTGATGTTTATAAAGTACCCAATTTCATAAAAGATAATACAGCAAGTATGAATCTCAGTTATGCAAGAAATATCTATTTCTTTGAATTAAAACAAACCTGACTCTAGACCCCCAGCCAGCCTGGCCGGCCACACATTTGATGCTTGCCCTCAGGTCCCCATTCCAGGGGAAAACCAGAAGCTGGAGCTTATGTGGGATCTGGACAGGGAGGCCTCACCTCTCCCATGGCCAGGGAGCTCCCACTGCGCACTTCACAGGCTCCCTGATGTCCTGTGATTTTGCTACCCCTCTGCCAGCATGGCACCTGGACTGCTCTGGCAAGGCTGGGAGCCCCTAGCCACCATCATATGTTCTCCTCTGAGACCTCACCAATGCCCCCCACACAGCTACAAAGTGGCGATGCCAGGGTACAAACCTATACAGTCTGGCTCCAGAGACCTGTTCCTAGTACCACCCTGTGCCTGCTGGGTGGGAGGGGGGCGGATGGAGGGGTGATGAATGGATGGGCAAATCGGAGGCTCTGTTCAAGAACACAAAATCCTCTGGAGTTGATTGGCCGTGATTAAAAAAAACAGTCACAGACTGTAGCCCAGCAAAGGTGGGACAGTTTTCCAAGTCCTGACAGATACACACCCATGGAAGCCTGTCATCCCATTGGTTCCTGAGAGAACCTCGGGAATTTATACAAAGGGAGCAGAAACTCAAACAGAGATTTCTATATCAAAATGTATATGAAAGCAGAAAGATTAGAAATAACCTAAATGCCCCAAAATAAGGGGAAAGTTAAATGAGTTATACTAAATCCATTTATGACACTATGTAGCTATTTAAAATTATGTTTTCAAGTGATATTTAATGATACGGTTAATGGTCATAATGTAATTTTTAAAAGGATTCAAAATTAACTTCAAATGTTAATACTTACCTCAGGATGATTTAATTACAGATTATTTTCATTTTCTTCT